TTGACTATCTCCCTCTAGTTTGACTGACGTATGCATGTGATGGCCCTATGATTTTACTGTCATTCCAGGATTTAATCAGATAAAGTAAAGGAATGCATGTAAATCTCAGTTTCAATTTTGTTGGTTGACTGAAAGTAGATTGTGGGATTGCATCTGGGGAAAGGTGGGAGAAAGGTTGTATTGCATGTTTGACTGGGTCATTAAGGCTGGGCCAGTTCCATAAGTTTGGGAAGGTCTAGTGCTATGTTTATTTTGAATTGCCTGGAGGACCAGACATGTTCCATAAGTTTGGTGGTCTGGTTGCTCTGACTTGCGAGGGCTGACTATGGTTGACTTTTCGGGAACCAGTCAAATCCATAAGTTTGGGTAGTCTGGCGGCCTTGTTTAATTTGGGTTTCTGTCAGTTTCTTTTTGCTTTGGCTTTAAGAGAATGAACCAGGCAAAGGACCATACGAGTTCCATAAGTTTGGGTGACCTTAGTCCAATGCCTCGCACATGCTGGGACCTGAAGGATATAACTTGGCTATATTCTACTATTATATTATCTATGAACAGGCTAGTCAGACAGGGTTCCATAAGTTTGGGTGGTCTGACTATAGCTTATCACCGACTGAAGAGAGTATTTAACTAAGGATAAACTTGTGGTACGAAGGGGCAGGCTGAATCTTGAGCTGAAGATGATCGGTTCAGTTATGTGCTACCTCAAAAGACTAAGTGCAGACAATTATATAAAGTTTGGATATTTAAACAGTTCATGGCGACTAGGGTGGCCTGGTCACATGCCCAAAGAGGAGAAAAGTTGTTGTGCCATGTGTTTGGGTATACTCCATGGCTGAGCTAGACATGTTCCATAAGTTTGGGTGGTCTAGCTTTATGTTCTATGTAAGCTGGGTATAAAGGGATAAATCATTGAAAGACTACGAACTGTTATTTGCTAAGTTGACTTGGGTTGCTGAGAGTACTCACCTTTGCGGTTTGGCCTGCATGCGACTGAGTGAGGCTACTACTTAGTTTGAGTTTCAATTTGATAGGTAGTTGCTTTAGTTGCTCGCCATGTGCTAGAGCCATAGGAGTTAGTTTGATTTTCACATATTCTGAGCAAAGTCTATTTTTGCGTAGTCAATTTCTGCATTTTCAGGGATCTTTTATTTTATACTTAGTCTTGTATAAATCTTGGTAGGCCACTTTCTCTACGGGAGGCGCTGTCGAAATTTTTACAAAACCAAGGAGTTAGTCAGATTTTGTCTTTTCAGAGTTCAGTTTGTCTGACTTTCATATATGGCGTAGTAAAGATATGGAGAGCCTCCTTTTCTAAAGGGAGTGCTGCCCAAATTTTTGCTAATACAGGGAGTTATACAAAATTGGACCTTGTGAAGTCAAAGTCATTTTTAGATTCTGAACTTGACTTTGTATAAACTTTAGTAAGCTACTTTCTCTACGGGAAGCTCTGTCGAAATTTCTACAAATTCAATGAGTTACTCAAAACTTGACTTTTCAAAATCCAACTTGTCTTATTTTCACATATGACTTAGTAAAAATATGGGAAGCCTCTTTTTCTAAACGGAGTGCTGCCCAAATTTTTGCTAATTCAGGTAGTTAGACAAAATTAAACTTTGAAAAGTTGAAGATTATGTTTGTTTCCATATGTAGGCTGATACAAATTCTAAGAAGACACTTTTTCTACGGGAAGCGCTGCCGAAATTTCCTTAGTTTAGAGGAGATAGATTATATTATGACAGGTGGCGATTCTGACGATCCACTCTCTATGGGGGAGATCCTGCCATAGGTCTACCTTTCTTTGGGCACTGGCTTAGAGGTAGACCTAGGCTTGGTCATCAGGAGAGTCTTAAGTAAAGACGTGTCATAGGGATTTGATCTCCATACGTTGACGAGTTAGCTTGGACATTGACTGTCGTATGATACAAGTCTTCATTTGGACGTTTGATTTAGGATTTGGACTAACTTCGGTTTGATCATTCGAGGATCATCTTCTGTTATCACTGATAACAGGTCGGTTCGTTAATCGCTGACTTGTAGGCTCACGACACAACTTTGCTTACATATGTACCTCAGCTTGATTGCCTTAGCCCTACGATTTGATATGTTTCCTTGAGGGATTTAACCGGACCCCTTGTAAGTGACCATTATAAAGATTTTATGAGATTTATGGAAAGGTTGAACTATGACTGGGGCTTGAGTGTGTGAGGCGTGGTATGAGTTACAGGGTACAGTAAAGTTGACCACCTTGGTGTATGGCAATGTGGCTATTGTGTGTACCTGTGTTGTATGCATGTTAGTATTTTAAAGCTTGGTATATAAACCATATTTTGGAGGAAGTGAGAATGACAACCATGTGTCGCACGATCTGAATACCTGATGGACTTATGTTCCCTTTTTTCTTTGGTTGTTGTCTCGAGTCCTGATCTGATATATGAGCGTTGTGATGCTTATTTATGTATTGACTGATTTTGCTTATTAATCTTTATAGTTGGACGTTGTAGTCCGTGGCAGCCGTCAAAGTCAAGCCCCTTGACTTCTTTCCAGACCCTAGATGATGGAGCTGGTCTCCAGGGCGATAAGAGACGACTGCTACCACAGGTATGAACCTGTGTACCACCCACTCTCCGCAGGGTGCAGAAGAGGGTGTGGTTTTCAACCGCACTTGGCGATTGTCCAGCATCGAGAGATCAATCCCTTAAGGCGCGTGTCGGCCGACACTTGAGCGTCGAACGCGATCCTCGAGAGGAACGAGGACCGCATGAGTATGGGTACTATATAGTACGCCATCATGGCGACCACTTGCATACGCTTGCATTGCGAGTCGATATGAGTTAGCCCTGCGTCCGCACGGTTTTATACAAAGTCTTGCGCGCGATGCCTAACCGATTTCCGCATCGGAGAGTTATGGGTTCGCTACTAAGGGACTAGGAGTGTTGTCGCGTTGTTTGTCCTCTGTCGTTTCATATATGTATGTGCGTAGGTATGTGTGTTTTTATTTTTATGTTATGTAGACTGGTGTGCGCGTGGTGTGTGGGATGTGTCCTAGTCGACCGACGACGAGTCGCGCTTGGGACTTCAGCCCCCCAAGATGTCGGTTCGCGTGCGGGCCCGATAGAGGCGTATTACCGCGCGTACCCCCTATGCTATAGCGAACGAGAAACGCCCTCTGCTGGTCCACCTTTGCGATCGCAACTGATCAACTTTCGTACTGTGGACTGGTAGCTTGGCGGTGATACGCCCACCGAAGGGAAGTGACAACTCCCGTAAGGTGGAGGTAAGCCGTGCCTCACGTAGGCCCTATCCTGTCGTAGGGGCTCGCGGGAGATATGGCTGACGCACTCGGCCGGAGCGGCTTGCGAAAGCGCCATGAATATTTGTGACGAAGGATTTAAGCCAACTCCTGCGTGACGCGGCCGGGGGGGTCCCGCGCTGCCCTGCGCGGTGCCAGACCGATGCGCTCGACAGCGCATCCCAAAGACCTCACAGAGTCATCACCCCGCTTAGTCTGAGCGTGGAAGCCAGGTTCGCCCACGTGCCACAGTCCCTCGCGGCCACGCGTCAACCCCACACAGTCAGCACCAACTCGTCATATCGCCCAACTCTCTACTCACCGTCTTTCTGCTCGTTAGCCGATCCTCTCGACTGTTCTAACTCCCAAGTAGATTAGAGAGGGAATTAATAGTGCTTGTAAAATTTATAGCTTGCTAATCAGCGCGCGATAGTCGGGATTGCCAGAGGAACATGAAAGAAGAGAGAAGGAAATGCCTACGAGTGCATGACTGGGCCGCGGCGTGGGGGACGTAGCCTCACTCCACGCTTCGATCCAACCATGCAACGATCCGGCCAATGAGATAGGAGGTGGAGTACGCATGCAGTGACGCGGGAAGGGAATTTCAAGAACGGGGAAGATTACGGTTACACCTGTGTAGTAGGGAAGGAACGAGAAAAGATTACAGTTGAGATTAGAATTTGGGCACCGCGGTAACAGAGCGCAGGTCCCTGTGCAGCAGAGCGCGCGCGCAAGTAAGAGGCGATGTGCCATTATGGGCACAAATTCCAACGTACCCAATTTCCTACTCTAATTAAAGTCCTAATTACGAAAAGAAATTCCAAAAGCCCGCATGGGCTCATTCCAAATTCAAAAATTTCGAAGAATTACCCGCGCGATTATTGCGCCAAAAAGACGAACGCCTTATTTGAAAACAAAAGAAAAAGAAGAGAAAAGCAAAAAAGACCGTAGCAGAAGTTGTTCCCCTTCCGCGCTCGTTAAGGCACGGGCCCATTGTCCCAAGGTCCATAACTGCCACCGTCTCTTCCCAAAGGACCAAGGAGAAAACTTCGAAAAATCAAGAAAGAAGGACCGCCATGCAATTTATCCTCGATCCCTTTGTGTACCCCCAATCCCGGTTACGCAGAAGATGGCGCCTTTCAGAAAGTAGTTCGTCACATATGTGACGCCCAGGGGGTTCCATCCTGTGCAAGCTCCCGCTTGCACACACATCTCCCAAGCTCGAAGAGGAAAGAAGAAGGAAGGGAGAAGAATTACAATCCCACCAATATTACACGTGTCGTTACCGTAGGATAAGAGTGTGGATGTCATTCTTTCGACACGTCATTTGAGCCGCCCTTATTTCAAGGGTGGGGGAGTCGGAAGATGGCGGGGATAGGTGGGTGGGGTTCATTCGGGAGAGGCGGTAGGAAATTCCCCATCCCCATCACCGTTTCCAGGAGCTCCTGGTACCTGATGATGCGATGGATGCGGGGGAAGCGATTTCCACCTTCAGGGAGGGAAGCAAGATAATCGGGATAGAGGGTTGAGAAAGTGCGAAACAGCGGTGCACGAAACTGCTCATGATCTGCACACACGGGGATAGTTCCCGTGATGATGCAGTAGACATCAATGCCGCCCTGGTCTCGCCACGCGGCGCTGATCAGAAGGACGTGGAGATAGAAGGAAGAAGAGACACATTGGGCAGCGGGGTGTGGATATACGTCAGCGACGAGGCGGGTGGCGTAGGATTGGTGGAAGGTCAAAGAAGGAAAAGGATTGGAGGGGAAAGAGCGTGGAGTATCGATCTGTCGGAAGGTGATGTAATCAAGGGGACGGCGGGATAGGGAACGGGGACGTAGCCCGATGTCCCGAATTGCCACGAGCTCGAACTGAGGGACGGGGGGAAGGGGATGGGGAGCGGGATCGCCTGCGCGTCGCCGTGCCAGAAGTCTTTGCATGAGGGTGCTCATCTTCCTTGGCTGGCGGCTCGAGATCTTTAGTCGGGTCGTCCGGAACAGGCAGATCGACTCCCAGCGACAGCTCCAATGGCCGCTTTCCCTCTGCGATGGCCGCCCTGCACCGCTCTGCTTCTGGATCCTTCTCCTGGGCTTCCACCTGCTCCGCTTCCTCTTCTCCATCCGCTTCTTCTTCGGCCACCTCCTGTTCTTCTACTTCTTCTTCTTCTTCTTCTTTTTCGCTCACCACCCCCGTCTCATGGTCGTTGTACTCACTATAATCCTCATCCTCTTCAGAGGTCTCCTCCTCGTCTTCTTCCTCCTCCTCTTCCTTTTCCTCTTCCTCTTCTCCTCCGCTCACCGGGTTGAAGAGAGCGTCCGCAATCGTCCCGGGGTCCAGGTAGTTGTGCGATGGGTAACAAGCGTTGTCGTCATCGCCTTCCAGACATGCTGACCATTGCAGATATGGTACCAAGTGGTGCGAGAGGATGTGTGGTACTGGACTCTTGTCGGAGTGCGAGATGACGTCAAGTGGAAGGTCGTCGAGTAGCTCGGTCTGAAGGACCAGCAGTTCGTTTATAATCGTTCGTCGATGACCCGTCTCGACCGATCTGAAGACGAATCCTAGAAAATCCCCCTCCGTGTCCGTCCGCCAAGCTTGAATGAGTAGCAGCTCGACGTTCTCACTAACAGCGGGCTGCTCACCATCCTTCCACCACATCAGATCGAGATCAACTAAGCATAGCAAAAGCGTCACGTACGTTTGCCACCACCTTAACCACTGCTCCGGCTTGATCCTTGGAAGCATAAGCGGGCGTACGGGGGATGGAGGGCCGACTGCCAGAAGAGAGGGAAAGCAGAGGGGAGGCTGAAAGCAGAGAATCTGGAGCGGTTCATTGGGGGCGAGGGAAGGGGACAAGCTCGGGGATGAGCACCGCTGGTGCGTGCCGAGAGAGGTGAATGCCGTCTATGTCAATAATGTCTATATTGACGATGTTCTCCCCCCGCTCCACGAGCATCTGACTCCACACCCTCGATAATTGCGCTCCCCACTCTCGCAACGAGTCAAGGATGGCCGTATGCGTTCTGGGATCGAGCGGCGTAAGATCCCCGCTGAAGATGATGACTGCCGAGATGTGAGCAGTTCCTGGCGCCGAGAGCCGACGATAAGCCGAGGCTTCGGCCAACACGTGTGACCTACTATTGGGGATCGCAAATCGAAGCTCTGCCGCCTCGTAGAATCCCCTTGTATTGAAGAACTGGGCAAAGCGAAGAGCGTCCGGGCTGATGCGCGAATGATACACTTGCCGAATCGACGAGATATGCCCACTTGGCGCCAACATGCGTTCACTGAGTACCTTCCGTGGAGAAACTCATGGCGAAAAGGAGAGAGAAGATGAGTGAGTAGGAGAGAGAGAATGAGGCTCGTCACTATCCCACTCGGACCCTGAAATCGACCCCGCTGGAGAAGGAGGGGAGGAAGTCGAGAGATGGCGGAGGTAGGACACGTGGCGGGCGATAGGCCTAGTCGACCGGCTACCGAACACCTCAGGAGCAAGCCGCACCGTGTTCACGCAGTTAGGACCGAGCTCGATCACTCTGAAGCATCCGTAGAATCGTGGCGCTAACTTGCCCTGGTGCGCACATTTCCTTACCTGCACCAAGTCCCCCAATTTGTACTGGGGCTGAGGGCCAGCATTCCCATTTCGGGCCTCATAACTCCGGACCTGGCGTCCGTAGGCCAATTCAGTCATACGCTGTCTTTTCCGGGCCAATCTCGGAAGGGCCCGTTCTATAAGGTGCAGATGGCGCTTGGCCTTGTCCTTGGCCGTCGCCCGCGTGGGACGTTTGTCCAGCGCCGTTTTGTCATTTAGGTTTGGTATCGAGACACAAGATAGGTTGTTGGTACGTACCTGGAAAGGTGAAAGTCCGGTAGATTCATGCGGGGTGCCTCGGTGTATAGCTAAGATGTGATCTATGATATCAGGACACGGCAGTGACTGCAATATTTTGTCGAAGTGTCGTTTTAATTACTCGGTTGGCATTTTCCACGAGGCCGTTCGATTGAGACATATGGGGAGCCGTATTACGAATAGACACCCTGTGTACGACCAGGTTCCTCATGACTTCTCCCTTGAATTCAGCTCCGTTGTCGGTAAGGATTTCCTCGGTGTCCTAATGCATCCCGAGGAAACGGTTAACAGACCGCGTTATTTCCGCCGTCTGTCTTGTCCGGCATGGGTAGGCCTCGATCCACTTTGAGAAGTGGTCGACAAACACCAAGAGAATTAAATATTCACAACTATTCGGTGCACGGGGGACGATAATATCTGTCGTGTCCATGCTAACCCTTTGAAATGGTCGTTGGACTACGGTGGGCACTATCGACCTAGGTGGCTGAATCGGTGCCTTGTCGGCCGCACAGNCTGTCGTGTCCATGCTAACCCTTTGAAATGGTCGTTGGACTACGGTGGGCACTATCGACCTAGGTGGCTGAATCGGTGCCTTGTCGGCCGCACAGACAGAACAGTTTTTAACAATATATTGAACGTCATCCCTAATGTCGGACCAATACCATTCGTTCTTGTCGATGGCGGATTCGGTGATCCTGACCGCAAAATGGGCTGCTGTCTCTTCGTGGGCTGCTTTAACCAGTCATACCTCATGAACGGGTGTGGGACTACCATCCATATTCCACTCCCGTCTGTTTTTCGCTTTTCTAACCGTCCCTCCTTCCACGTATAGTCCCGCGCCCTATTATTGGCCTGTCTCCGATCGTCCTTGGAGAATTCTCGAAGAGGGTTCCCTACGACGGTCGCTATCAAAGCGTATACTGTAAGATCTTTTTCAGTCCTTCCGACGTAGCTTCCAGGAATCGAGCCTCCGTCTGAATCTTGTCGGTATGGCACAGGTGGCAGAGCCACTGTTTTTGCGGATTCCTATACTGGATGCATGACCCATGGACCCTGACTACACACGTGGCGCACTCTACCCATTCGACGTACCCTTCATTTTCCGGCTTAACCGAAATAGAGTGGATGCCCGAGATAGATTCACACAGAAAACAAAAACGATCGGGGAGGGAGAATAGAGAAGAGGAAGAAGGAGAGAGAGGGCCCTCAATGTTTTCTCCTCTCTGGGCCGTCATAAAGACACGTGTCACTTCCTCGCCTGCCGAGGGAGAACCTTCACCTGGTCGTACCCGGGTCCCTTGGTCTGTTCAGGATCCTTCCACGGAGTGRTCTCTTCGTGGCRTGGCACCTTGCCCGGCCGGTGCAGACGCGTCAGTCCGTCGGCGTTCCCGTGCCTTTCCGTTTTTCTGTGGACGATATCGAAATCATACTCCTGCAGTCTCACCGCCCATCGCCCAATCAKTCCCGTGTAGTTCGTCAGCTTCTCGAGRGCCAGCAATGGCTCGTGATCCGTTACGAGGRGGAACTTCTGCCCGTAGAGATACGGGTGGAAGTGCTGGATTCCCCAGACGATAGCATAGCATTCTCCCTGTGGCGCCGAGTCGTTCTTCCTTTCGTCCGGCACCGTCCTCGAAGCATATTCGACCACGTGCTCCCGCCCGTCTTTCCCCTTCTGAGTTAGGATTGCGGAGATTGTCAACTTCTCGAGGGCCAGCAATGGCTCGTGATCCGTTACGAGGAGGAACTTCTGCCCGTAGAGATACGGGTGGAAGTGCTGGATTCCTCATACGATAGCATAGCATTCTCCCTGTGGCGCCGAGTCGTTCTTCCTTTCGTCCGGCACTGTCCTCGAAGCACATTCGACCACGTGCTCCCGCCCGTCTTTCCCCTTCTGAGTTAGGATTGCGGAGATAGCCTCGGGCTGCCAGTCAGTAATGAGTAGGAACTGGCGCTCGGGATCGGGCCGGATTAAAATAGGGGTCGAGGTCAGGGCCTCCTTCAAAGTGCAAAAGGCCTGCTCACACTCCGCGTCCCAGCTCAGCGGCTGGTCCTTCCGCAGGAGGTTCGTCAGGGGTCGAGCGATTGCCGCAAATCCCTTGATAAACCGTCGATAGAATGAGGCCAGTCCCCGGAAGGCTCGAGCCTACGTCAATGACGTGGGCGTGGGTGCTTCCCGAACAGCCTCGACCTTCCTCGAATCCGGTCTCAAGCCTCCTCGGGTTGCCACGTATCCCAGRAACGAGATCTCGGACAGGAAGAATTCGCTTTTCTCCAACGCAATCTTGAAACCGGCATCCCGTAGCGAGCCAAGTGTCCATTCAATATGCTGCGCGTGTCCATGGAATGATTCAGAATATACCAAAATATCGTCCATGTACACGATAACGCAAAAATTGATCACGCCCTGAGTTAACTTGGTCTTGTTCACGAAGTTCTGGAAAGTGACATTCATTGCCCGCTGGAAAGTTGCCGGCGCATTGCATATACCCATAGGGCATTGAACCCACTGCCACGTGCCCTCAAACAAGACAAACGTCGTCTTCGGTCGATCTTCTTCCCTCACAAGCATATGGTGGAACCCGTGCCGAATATCAAATTTACTGAAATAATTCGCACAGCCAATCGCATCCAGCAGATTATCAATCTGAGGGAGGGGGTACACATCCTTGATCGTGATGTCATTCAATTTTCGATAATCAATGCAAATGCGAATTGATCCGTTCTTTTTCAGAATCAAAACTACTTGAAAGGACCAAGGACCGATAGCGGGCTCTATCCAACCATTAACCTCGAATTCCTGAATTCGCTCGAGTGCCGCCTTTCATTCTGCCAATGAGTATCGATACGGTTTGCAATGAATCGGCGGGTGATTGCCGGTCTGAATCTCGTGTTGGATTATTAAGGATAACCCGATGTTCGTGTCATCAATGTTGATAGTACCCCGATATTCCTGTACGATCTCTGCAATAAGTTGGTGGGTTCCGTTGGGCACGTATTCTGGCATGTGCAACTCGTAAGGCCGCCCGTGTATATCGACTGCAACGTGTTTGGTACGTACTGCCTTAGAGTCCCGGGGCGGCGGGGAAGAGATGAAAGAGTTGTCCGACTGCCACGAGAACACGGTGGCTACCATCTGGGCTTCCTCCTCTCGGATGGCCACGTGTTCTTCGGGGGTTATTCCATCCGCGATATCCCGGGGATCCACTGATTTCTCAGCGATTCTTATCCCGACATCAAACATCGAGGCTTCGGGGCACCCAGAGGGTTCCAAGGCCTGTACTACCGCTCCCAGACGCAACAATCGTATCTCCTTGTATGTGGTAAGAAGCGATCGGGGAGGGTGTTCCGTGACGTTGCAGAAGGACCGCTTATCTACGTTGTCGGGCGGCCAAATCCTGTCGGCCACCCGAAATAAAAGGAATTGGACCCTCAAACGAACGCCCAATTAAGATTTTAGTGATACTCTTGTTTGACCTGACCGGAAAAATTAGGGGTACTTGGAGCACCCCTAATTTTTGAGGTGCCGACCGTTGAGAGTAGCCCTCAAAATTGACAAGAGAGACTACCGCTTCTACCGCGGTGACGCCCACCTCTTTTTCGCCCGCTCCGAGGCTATTCCCGAAATGGCTAGCCGCGGGACGGTAATATGGGAGTAGGCCTTGGCACGACTCTTCTACATCAGCCTATCCATGGGGAGATGGAGCCTCAAATTTTGTTAATTCCAATGACAAAATTAAAATTAAGAAGAAATAATTAAAAATAATAAGAGAAGGAAAAACAAAGGAATTTTCGCTATTTAATTGAATTCCCTCGGAATTCATTTTTCATAAAAATACGTTTAGTTTTATTATTTTCGATAATAGAATTAAGAAATAAGAGAAATAATTAAAAATGATAAAAGAAAAGAAAACCAACGATTATTTAATATTCGATAAAATTTTATTTGAATTATTTGCGATCGGATTTATCCCGGTATTATTTACTTACCTCAATTCTGACAATTCTTACAGTTTTCCGATTATTGCGGACCCTTGCGAGATTTACCTGACGTATCTGAATCCTACCCTTATTGCCACCTGTGTGTTATGAGTGAGTGCGGGATGGATGCTCGGCGCGGTATTACTGTTGGTGCTATTTTGGTTGTGCCGCTTGACTTTATCACTTCGGTATGSACACTGGATCGACTCCGACATGACACTTTGGTTCGGGGCAGGTATGGCACAGACCTTGGTGGTACTCGCGTGACACATATTTGGCACCTTTCTCTGGTCACGACGACATGATTGGGCTACGACATGTGTTACGTGGTTCTGTTACATTTGGTATGGTTCATTCACGACACGGTATGATGTTACGCTGATTCGAGACGGGGTCTCTCTCTCTTTCTTTGGCTTTGTTTCCTTACATCGAGCGCAGTTCTTCGCAGCTAGCTACTCACGCGTAACACTGGTCCGTGCGTGCGCTCGGTGCGTGCTCCCTCTCCCATATGCCTCTCCGCAGAGCGTGCGCAGTTCGTGACGTCGAGCGTGGATTCCGATCACCTCTGTGTCCCCCCCTCTGGCTTCTCATCTCTCTTTATACTTCCTAGTCCGTCTCCCTTCGATCCTCCTCCCTTCTCTTTCTGCCAATCCCTCTCTTTTCTCGATCCTCCCGAAATATCTTCCTCTTTTTCTCTCTTCCCATCGTTCGTCGTGCAGATTTTTTAGGCTTCCCGCTCGGCCGCACCAATTTTATTTTGTCCTCACTACCGCTCCCTTCTTTCCTACCTTGATCCGCCCATACATCCTCTTCGCCAATGGA